TTTTTTTTTTTTTTTTTTTTTTTTTTTTTGAGAAACAACAGTAAAATTCAATGCAGTTTTAGTGATTACTGTTTGTCATTGTTTTTTATCATAAATGATTTTTGGAAGTGAAGATGTTCTGATAAGAACTGAGAACCAAATAACTTTTCTAGCAAAGTCTAGCCTCAGTATGCATATCAATTCTGCTTTTTTTTCTTCTCAGATTTAGTACCATTTAAAGCGCAGTCATGCACACTAAATTTTTTGGATTTTAGCCATAAACGGCGAGAAGTAGGCGGGCTGGCAGACGTTTAGTTTGCACTTGTCTAGAGCATTTTTAGGCCCTAGTGGATATGGATGTGGTTTTGAAGATTTGCAACTCTGCTTGAAAGTTGTCTGATAGTACTTTTAAGAAATAACTCGGGGTTAACGGACCACGAGGAAATCGTTTCAAATTGCTAGTTTTTTTTAACGATGTTTTATTCTCTCAAGACCGAAGTTCTTTTCTTTTTCAAAGGGCTTATTATAACGTCTCTTTTCCGAGAATGAAATACCCGTTTCTGTTGTCTAACTCTGTTGGAAAAAAACAACTTCGCGTGGGAACGCTTGCGGTCACAAGAACAAGCAAAAATTAGTTTTTTCTTTCTGTTTCAACTGAACATCGTTTCTTTTAGATTTTGTTTTAACGTTGTTTTGAACAAATCTTTTACAAGATATTACAATTAATGAAAAGTGCTTTCTCAACTTGAAATGTGCTTGTCAAAGATAATAAAATTGTTAAAAGTTCCTAAAACACTGCTAATCAATCGTTTTTGGACTCCAACTGACACTATTCTGAACTCTAGATGCGAAGTTTAAGAAGATCTGAACCAGTGGCAAATAATTATTCAAAAATATTGCCAAATAAACTTATGTAAAGTACCATTTTTTTTTCAACTATGCAAATTGATAACAAATAAACTTAATAATTTAGCAGTCTATTGAAGCTGAACGAAATTGTGCACAGTAAGTATTAGTTCATAATTTGCAACAGTTGATTTGATCAGCTGATATAACAGCCTGTAGAAGACAAGGACAGTCTGACAACGTTATTCCACCTGGTGGAAAAATTAACGTTATCGGACAGCAGAAGTTACTTTGTCAATAGATTAACCCGCAATCACGTACAGCCTATACTATTTGTGACAGCAAATCAAAGTAAAAAATTGTTTTTATGAAAACAAATTATCAACTTAAAGCACTTTTAATTTGTGTTAACGTTCAAATGTTTCTTCTTTTTGAAGTGCTCGAATTGGGGATGATCTGTAAGAGTTTTGTAGAATCGCTTGAACTAACATTACGTGTATATCTGTTGTGGTATGCAAATACAAATGTATCTAATGAGACGAAGAGCAAAAAGAGAAAGAAAAACACCGTAAATTGACGCAAAAATACCCAATGAAAGTCACGTATTTGAACTTTCTATAAGCCCTAAATTTTTTCCATCTAATTCTTAGTCTCATCTTACCAGTTTTCTGCTAACTTTAAAAAAACCTCTTCTTTTTTATACCCGCTGTTTTGAAGTGTTATCTTTCTGGTCCACAAACAAGTAATCAACATTTCCCTTACGCCTATTTGACGTTTAAAATACTTCATGAGGAAAAAAAGACTGACATATTTATGGTGCATCTTAGGCACACAATATAATTCGTTTTCCAAATCTGTATTGCATACTTTTAATTATAAACTTGATGGGCAGAATTTTTTTCAAATTGAATGAATTATTTCACATGGAAAAAAATTAATTTTTTTTATTATTATTAGTGAAGACGATAAATGAAGTGTAAACTAATATTTTAGTTAAAAGTCTGCAGATTTTTCAAACGCCTTCTGTTCCTCTGTTTTTTAATTACTTATTCATTTTTTTTTTCTTTGTTGCATATCGTTTTCTTAACAATTGCCTTATTTTCAAAATTCATTTTTTGTTTTCATACTGTTCTTAACAATTTTGTGCATTTTACGATATCTTTGTTATTAAATGTTGCCATACATTAAGTCGCGTTTTTTTTTTTTTTTTTCTTGATAGTTTATACTTTGTCGCTACAATATTATTACAAAAAAACCCTAAACTTCAAGAAGGTTCTTTCGACCACCGGTTTTTCTGATGTTACATATCTATGTGTTAATGGAATGAGTTTGATCAAAGCTGTCGGAAAATGATGTCGATTTGGTTTTTGGCTAAATAAATTGCCGGCAAAAAAAAAATCGATGGATGAATGTTTTTTTTGAAGACAGCTGAAAAGTCGCTGCAAGAAACCAAAGCCACGGATTGTTCACTGGTTTTTAACGTGCTCTTAATCTTCAAAGTGCTAAACTCATTCACCACTATTGCTTTTCCTGCGGAATAAGAGTTTGGCCTTCATGTTCGATGGGCTGTTTTGTCCCTCATTCGTAGTGCTATTAATGCTCGTATAATAATATAAAACGCCAAAGGTTATCGTTGTTAGCAAAGGCTACATGGACAATTTTTGTTCCAAATTTGGTTTTTTTTTTTTTTTGCTTAAATTGTTCAATTTTTCTAAATATTACTGTCAGGAATAATTTTGTGCAGTTATGTGTGATAATACCAATTGAATTGATTATTTACCGGCAGTGCTTAGCGATGTATCCGCATCACAGCTTCGATACTGTCGTCGGCAAAACTACGATGTTCGTCAAACCGCGTGCTACATTTACGGTGTTAACATCCATTATCGCGTTTTCGACAACTTTTTCGATAAGTATATTTTACTTGAAATAAGAAATGAGTTTTAAAAAGTCTGGCCAAGTTTCCTAAACGAATTTGTTGATCTAAAAATTTACTATGATGCTTATTTAAAAGAATAACTTGACTTTTTTGTCTAGCATACGCTGTAACAAATACTATATAAGATGTTGCAGTTTTCTTTTACGTACTTTGTTTAGTTTTTTCTATATATTTTTCTCATCTCTTACCATCAGACTGACTAATCAGAAGACTATGCACTTATAACTGCGTATGGGAAATAGCAGAAACGAAGAGGCCAATAGCGGTTGGGAAGTTTACTTTTTCAAGTTTGCTTCGGAATCGTCGCCGACTGTCTTTGCTGACGTAATCATCAAATAACATTCAACTTTTTCTGCACTTTGCCAAATATTTTTGTAAACAACAGGCGAATAATATCAGCATTTTTTGCTTTTGAAATATTTGAACTGTTTCTTATTCACTTCCTACAAAAAGTTTATCTGTTTTCAGTCCGTAAAAGTTTTCTGAGAACTTTGCATCGCTTGTGAAAGTTTGAAGTTTGTTTTTTTTTTTTTTCTTGCAGAAGTCCAATAAGAAACTGCTTAAACTCTTACTTTTCTCCCGCAACATTTTGAAAGTAAAAAAGTGGATTTTGAAAGTTGCTGACGACAATTCAAATTTATGGAATTGCTTATTTTTCCTAACATACAACAGTGTTGACAGACTGAGTTTGTTTCATGCTTGATCGAAAGAGAAAGATTAATTTGATCTTCATCAAAAAAAGCGTATTGAAAAAGCCCTTTTGTATTGATCGCTGCTGTAATACT